TTGATTCAATCACTCAATCGATGTCAATCAATCAATTAACCATTCACTCACTCAATCAATTAATCAATACCATAACATTGTTGTGTAAAATTCTGGTGTATGAACGGGGAACAGAAAGTAAAGGAATAAAATGTTATTATTTAAACAATCGGACGATCTGAGTGCGCGTCCAGGAAACATTGTGTTTAGAGTTATTGTTGGCCCTCTATAACCAGCTGCGCTGATGAGGTCATCAAAACATTGACCACATGACCAGAAATAGGTTTTCTGAATTTAATAATTTCTTTTGTTTTAAACACGTTTACAAAGATTAGTGCCTTTTCCTTTGTTCAATTAACTCCCTGCTTCTCAACCTATGGGTCGCGCCACAAAATTTGGTCGCCAAAACATTTCTGGGGGTCACGAAAAAAAAAAAATTTGGTAAAGCGCATCTCGAAACATAGTGGAAAATACTTCTGCATAGTGGCCAGTCCTACAAAAAGGACTCATCCACATTAACTAGAAGTAACAGATAATAAACAACATGATTAGTTGCTTCTTTGCTTTTTTGTTTGCGAGTGGGTGGGAACTGTACAAGCTTCTTTTTGAAATGTATATTTGACCAGTCAGCGTCGCCCAAATCGACTGTGCGCAATAAACAAATCGTCATTGCTTAAACATTTCAAAATTATGAGTGTAACAAATATTCTTCAGAGTGGGAGATTCAATGGTGATCCAGCCGCCACCCTCCCACCTATTTTTTTTTTTTTTTTTTTTTTTTAAATAAAAAATGGAGATAAAAATTATACCTATTCAAACTAAGAGTCCATTTCCGGCCATCTAGAGGTGCTGTAATCGGTTATTAAAACCCTATCGCTGAAAGTCCTTCCCGGGACACCCTCTATTTCGAATCACCTTGGACCAGTCATTCCTCCATATTATGAAACTGAACATTTAGCACACAATATCAAAATTCTAGTGTACTTTGTTAAGCAAATATAAATCGAAACGATTTTTCACTGCTAGCTTGTGTTCGACTTTGAGTTTGATAGCTTGCGGATCTAAGTAATCAACACATAACATGACAATATCATTTTGTTATGACAATATATGCCTTGGGTCGCCACAAAATGTGCATTCTGAAAGTGGGTCGCCACCTAAAAAAGGTTGAGAAGCAGGGATTTAAGTCATTCATATTCATTGGGATGTCACGGGGAAACGTGGGGGTCGAATTCCCCAGCTCCAGTGTTGATCCAGGCGTGCTCGAGGGCAGGGGCGCACGGCCACCCAATGAAGCTCGCTTCTTAGCCACACCACTAGACATTTTAAAGGCAAAACAAAAATACGCTGGAGTAGTTAAAAATTCCACCTTATGTAGCCAGCTAGCACCCCCTCTTTATAATTGAGCCCTCCCACTTCACCGCCGCGGCCCCGCATCATCCGCTCCCTCATTTTTCAATGCTTTTATACCACCACCACTGGCTATCGAGCGATATCATGTTCAAGATTTGAATAGAAAGTAAAATTATATGCATTGTATTGGTTGTAACATGGATATAAAGGTTTGATGAATGACGATCATTATAAATAATTGATTGAAAGCATACAATTAGCCATCTAGGCCAATATTTGAATGGTATTTAATATTTATAGAAAATGCGAATTTTAATGAAACATAAACATAGGTCTACGCATTTCTTATTTTTACCCTTTTACTTTTAATTTCTATGAGCCTACATCAAAATCAATCATACTCTGCTTCTATTACGGAGTATGACTTCTCGGGGATCGCACGCATTTATTTCTCTGAAAAATACAAAAGACAAGAACAGACAGACGCAATGAGAAACA